ATATATACCACTTTTTAGGGATTTTTTGATTCGTTAGCTTGAATTTTGTTATGACTATGTTACCTCGCTCTGATGATGTCCGTCATATGACGGACGAAAGCTCAGCACCTTTTCACCGGACTCGAATAAGATTGCCTCGGAAACAGTCAGCATGAATCTTCCAGTAAAGCCAATCGACAGATGGTCGTGAGGAATTCGTTGTCGTCTTCTGGTGGAGCCGACCTTTGAATCTCTTCACCCAACACTTTCACTCGAAATGGAAGTGAGCTCAACAATAAAAAGCACCAACAATAATATCAACGTACTCCGCATGCTGTAAACGGAAGGTGCGAATTGTGTAGTAGGCCAGCTCTATAACTTCAAGCAGCGCCACTCGAATCTGGCCGTAGGTGGCCGCCGCGATGGTCTTCAAGTTGTTGGCACCACTGAAGCTGGGGGTACAGATGAACCGACCAGCCGGTGGCCCCGGCGGCCTGGTGATTTCGGGCTCCATGGCCAAAGAGTGCCCCTGATGCGGTTGGCAACTTCTCAATCTGTCGTCACGTTCCGTCAGAGGACTTGACGACTCTGCGTCCTCATCAAAACCAAGTCTGACGCCGTCGAGGGGACTGCAAGTCTGCAGAGTCAGATCTGCAGCATTCATGGGCGAGAGACGGGGATTGGCGAAGACCAAGCTGTCGTCCGGCGACGCTTGTCTCGCCTCAGGTTCGTCAGACCCCTCCAAGTAGGCGTCGTCCATGCTCGTCAGATCACTGAGGTGACCATCCCTCCTGCCAGCACTGGCCAACCTGGCTGCGCTTCTGCTCTCCGTCGCTTGTCGGCTTATCGTGCTTGCCTCGTAGTGAGGCCCAGGCCAATATTGATCACATTTGACCCGTAACCTTTCCTCCAGCCGCGTCATGGCGACGATTATAGCAGTTCCCTGTTCCCAGATCATCTGCCAGAAGTCGGCAAAGGTGTGTGGTAGGGGGCCCTGATGGTAAAACGACCAAGTGAATGGGGTAGAAAGGCAAGATGAGATTAAAAAGTTATAAAATGTGCTAACTACATGAAGCTTCATTTAGGCGTAACTCTTTCTGTAGTAGATGAATTTACATCTTATGGCTTCGCTATTCTAGTAGCCTCTGTTAAAATGGAAAGCACAAGTTCGCTCCTTTCATGAATAGCCATAAGAGAAGCGAATACATGTGGCCCCTAAACGGTTCAGGGTGCATGTTAACAAGTGATCCTGCATATTTTGGGTTAGAAGACGAATCCTGAACAAGACAAAGAAGATATGAAGACCAAGATGTTGTGGCCTCTGGTTTGGTCG